GCTTGATACAAGTAAAATAATTGGTTGTGTCTAAATATCACGAGCCTAGCGTAGTTATGAATATTCATGAGGTATTGATAACGAGAAAAAATATGTCGGTCAGCTCAAACAGATCCGGTATCCGCAATAAATTAAAGAAGAATTAAAACAAACTTTATTATCATTTTTAATAGTTTAATCAACGTTTGAATTGTTGTTTTATATACAAATAAGAAGCAATTCATTATTTTATATCCAAGTTTTTTCCCATACGAATATAATAATGTAAGAAATGACTTTGACATTTTCGCGCGGTTTCTAATCAAAACAAAACCATGCCGGCTGTCAGAAAGTTTAAGAACTACCAAGAAATACAAGCATTTCTTGAAGAGTTAGAAAAAACAACAACAGCAAGATTCATCACACAGAGAATCAGCAATAAACGACACTTTGAACTAGAAGGAGATGGTAAGGAGAAGTATTAACCGATTATAACTACCTATACAATATAATATTACGTAACGATAGATCTGTGTGTGTAAGATTATTAACATTATATTTCGAAGTATGCTGTTCTTTTCCAACAACAGGTACAATTTAATTGAAAACAACAGGTGTAAACTAAATTATTTTGCCAAAATAAAACGATTGAATGAGAATGCAGAAAACGATGGAATTATTACAAAGAGGTATGCATGACATGCATTGAAAAAATATATAATAGGCTAAAAGGCTACCGATAAAAAAAAAATCCACAAAAAACTTTTACACAGATATTAAACCAGTGAGCAAGGCTATTGACCTCACTACCCTAGGCTATTGATACGATCTACTGAGTACTACATGACGGTAAGAGTCCAGTACCCTAGGCTATTGATACGGTCTACTGAGTACTACAGGACAGGTAAGACACCAGTACCCTAGGCTATTGATACGGTCTACTGAGTACTACAGGACAGGTAAGAGTCCAGTACCCTAGGCTATTGATACGGTCTACTGAGTACTACATGACAGGTAATAGACCAGTACCCTAGGCTATTGATACGGTCTACTGAGTACTACATGACAGGTAAGAGTCCAGTACCCTAGGCTATTGATACGGTCTACTGAGTACTACATGACAGGTAAGAGTCCAGTACCCTAGGCTATTGATACGGTCTACTGAGTACTACATGACAGGTAAGAGTCCAGTACCCTAGGCTATTGATACGGTCTACTGAGTACTACATGACAGGTAAGACCAGTACCCTAGGCTATTGATACGGTCTACTGAGTACTACAGGACAGGTAATAGACCAGTACCCTAGGCTATTGATACGGTCTACTGAGTACTACATGACAGGTAAGAGTCCATTACCCTAGGCTATTGATACGGTCTACTGAGTACTACATGACAGGTAAGACACCAGTACCCTAGGCTATTGATTTGATACGGTCTACTGAGTACTACAGGACAGGTAAGACACCAGTACCCTAGGCTATTGATACGGTCTACTGAGTACTACAGGACAGGTAATAGACCAGTACCCTAGGCTATTGATACGGTCTACTGAGTACTACATGACAGGTAATAGACCAGTACCCTAGGCTATTGATACGGTCTACTGAGTACTACATGACAGGTAAGAGTCCAGTACCCTAGGCCATTGATACGGTCTCCTGAGTACTACATGACAGATAAGACACCAGTACCCTAGGCTATTGATACGGTCTACTGAGTACTACAGGACAGGTAATAGACCAGTACCCTAGGCTATTGATACGGTCTGCTGAGTACTACATGACAGGTAAGAGTCCATTACCCTAGGCTATTGATACGGTCTACTGAGTAGTACATGACAGGTAATAGACCAGTACCCTAGGCTATTGATACGGTCTACTGAGTACTACATGACAGGTAAGAGTCCAGTACCCTAGGCCATTGATACGGTCTCCTGAGTACTACATGACAGATAAGACACCAGTACCCTAGGCTATTGATACGGTCTACTGAGTACTACAGGACAGGTAAGAGACCAGTACCCTAGGCCATTGATACGGTCTACTGAGTACTACATGACAGGTAAGAGTCCATTACCCTAGGCTATTGATACGGTCTACTGAGTAGTACATGACAGGTAATAGACCAGTACCCTAGGCTATTGATACGGTCTACTGAGTACTACAGGACAGGTAATAGACCAGTACCCTAGGCTATTGATACGGTCTACTGAGTACTACAGGACAGGTAATAGACCAGTACCCTAGGCTATTGATACGGTCTACTGAGTACTACATGACAGGTAATAGACCAGTACCCTAGGCTATTGATACGGTCTACTGAGTACTACATGACAGGTAAGAGTCCAGTACCCTAGGCCATTGATACGGTCTCCTGAGTACTACATGACAGATAAGACACCAGTACCCTAGGCTATTGATACGGTCTACTGAGTACTACAGGACAGGTAATAGACCAGTACCCTAGGCTATTGATACGGTCTGCTGAGTACTACATGACAGGTAAGAGTCCATTACCCTAGGCTATTGATACGGTCTACTGAGTAGTACATGACAGGTAATAGACCAGTACCCTAGGCTATTGATACGGTCTACTGAGTACTACATGACAGGTAAGAGTCCAGTACCCTAGGCCATTGATACGGTCTCCTGAGTACTACATGACAGATAAGACACCAGTACCCTAGGCTATTGATACGGTCTACTGAGTACTACAGGACAGGTAAGAGACCAGTACCCTAGGCCATTGATACGGTCTACTGAGTACTACATGACAGGTAAGAGTCCATTACCCTAGGCTATTGATACGGTCTACTGAGTAGTACATGACAGGTAATAGACCAGTACCCTAGGCTATTGATACGGTCTACTGAGTACTACATGACAGGTAAGAGTCCATTACCCTAGGCTATTGATACGGTCTACTGAGTAGTACATGACAGGTAATAGACCAGTACCCTAGGCTATTGATACGGTCTACTGAGTACTACATGACAGGTAAGACCAGTACCCTAGGCTATTGATACGGTCTACTGAGTACTACATGACAGGTAAGAGTCCAGTACCCTAGGCTATTGATACGGTCTACTGAGTACTACATGACAGGTAAGACCAGTACCCTAGGCTATTGATACGGTCTACTGAGTACTACAGGACAGGTAATAGACCAGTACCCTAGGCTATTGATACGGTCTACTGAGTAGTACATGACAGGTAAGACCAGTACCCTAGGCTATTGATACAGTCTACTGAGTACTACATGACAGGTAAGAGTCCATTACCCTAGGCTATTGATACGGTCTACTGAGTACTACATGACAGGTAAGACACCAGTACCCTAGGCTATTGATACGGTCTATGGAGTACTTCCTGTCAATATGACATTCATACCTTAGGCTATTGATACAGTCTATGGAGTACTTCCTGTCAATATGACATTCATACCCTAGGCTATTTATTTGCTATGTGGGGGTACTTGTAGTCAGTGTGACATGACTGGAATGTTTTAAATTCAATTTTTTTACTATGTTTTGCAATTGCTTTTGCTTTTTAATTATATGAAAAATTATGTGCACATTTTTTTAAAATACTTTTTACAGATGTTACATCTTTAAAGGGTCACAAAATTCTTTGGCAAGATTGTCAAGAAACAGCTAGTCCTTCTGTTGAATTTGATGGCACTCCTTATGTGAACATAGGATGGATGGTAAAAGAATGTCACCATGGACCAGATAGACAGAGGAGAGCAAAGGAAAAGAAGAAACAAAGACATGTAATTTATCTTGCTTTTATTTTAAAGTACTTACAGATATTATTGTATAATCAAGTTGAAATATTTTTTGAAGGGGTGAAATTTTTGTGGCTGAAGGAAAAATAATTGATTCAAGGGAATTTGATTTCTCGGTTGAAGAATTGTGGAGTAATAAACCATTTAAATTTTTTATGAAAATTAATGATCTATCTACATATTATAATTAAATGATATTTGACAATACTTTTTGTTTATTACTAACCTTGATAGAGTACAGTAAAAATAACTGAAATATGTTTTAAAAGTATAAATAACTTGTGATTGAGAGATCTTTACCAATCATGTATTATTGGTCATGACCTTTCTAGAAGTTCACAAAGTACTGCATGAAGATCATAAATTTTCATGATGTCCACTGTTATTTCACTTTATTTTAGCAAAACAAAATTTGCATGAATTTTGATTTAAGTTGTATGTAATCCATCATAAAAAATAATATACATGAGAAAAAAAAAATTCACATATAGAAAGTCTTGCTAAAATGTTTGGATGTTAAAAGTAATTTACTGACAGTATGATCTAAGAACTAATCATTCACAATTATAAGGTAAGTATAACCAATTTAGAGAAAGAAGATAACAACAATACCTCCACCAAATGTTAGGTACTGAACAACCAAATCGAATTCACAAACTTATAATATTGTAAGTGTTTTCATTGATAGAGGCCTGGAGACCATGATTACTCTAATAAAGGAAGAGCACGTAAGAAAATCCAAATGTCTAAAAAGCAAGCTTGTCCAGCAACAATAAGAATTAGAGCCATCATGAAATTTCCTGATTTCAAGGTACATTTATCATTTTTTTCATTAATGTACATGAATTGGGTTGTACTGCTTGGGTCTCTAAATAATTTTTTGGGTCTTTTTTTAAATTAGGTAGATTCATACAACAATAAGTTGATGAAAAGGAAGATATCTAGAAATCTCAAACAAGCTTTCGCAAACAGAGACACAATTCAAAAATCACTTGTTTATTTGGTGTCATATCCAAGTGTCAATGACCACAAAAACCATCTTACTGGAGAGGTAAGTGTTGATGATCAGTAACCAGAATTATAGTTACTTTGTATATTATAATACTTCATTCTCAAAATAAAGTTTCCAAATTTCTTTTTTAATTATTTCAAATAATACAAAATGTGTCCCTTGTAGTTTGCAGGATTCACTCAACGTATTGATCAGAGATTAGTAACCCGCATAAAAGAACTT